TTTACAGCTCACATCAAGATGAGGCGTCAGCAGAAGCAGGACCCTGTAAATTACGCTGTGTAACCAATGTGCTACAGAACAGTCTCCATTCTCCACGAGACATACGCTTCTTTTGAGGAGCAGGTAAGGGATGTGTTGTCTTACTTGTTACATGAGACAAAAAAGTACGCTTTGGGTGCTGAAGACGCTTCTGAGAAAGCAATCACTGAACAACATCTCAGCAGAAATAAGATCTGCTAGAAGACCGAAGTTTCAGACCAATGTAATGTGCCTTTAAAAAGTACCATGTCTATACTGCTGTACTGCTTACTTTCTGAAGCTAAGCCAGAGGGATGTACATAGTAAGATCTTTGTCTCATTTCAGGGAGGATACAGGATAAAGATTCTGTGCCAGTAATCTTCCCTGGATTAATGGTTTCTCTTTTATCTGCTGTATTTCTGCTCAGATGTCTTTGCTCTGAATGAGTCAGTGGAATGCAAATGATGAGTACAGTCAGTCTGAAAATATTTAAATCTAGCTTTCTACTGCACTGCAGGTTTGTGGAAAAAAAAATACACACATATAAATATACATGCAGAATAAAGGGCAGATGAAAATTACAGGTATATCAATAATGAAAAAAAACCTAAACCACTGGGGGGGTCAAATTGACAAGAAATTCATTTTTCTGTTTCTCCTTACTTTCTTTTCTTCTCTTTTTTTTTTAATTTTTTTTTTTCCCCACAAATATCAGCATTTAGATGCTTGCTATGAATGGGTGAGTAAAATCTGCAACACTCCTTTTCTAAGCCTCAGACACTATACAAAAACGTATCTGTTAGAATAGGAACTTGTTTTTGTTCAGGTTGCTAAACGCCCTATCTTTATTATCCCCAAAAGTATCTTCCCAAAGATAGCATTCTTAATCCTGACAAAGCAGAAACCAGACAGTCTAGGCATGATTTCTTTGGATTTTCTCTCTTTCCTTCTTCTATAACATATTTTTAAGATAAGACTGGATGTGGCACTTAGTGCCATGGTCTAGCAACTGCAGCAATAATGGATCAAGGGTTGGACTTGATGATCTCGGAGGTCCCTTCCAACCCAGCTGATTCTATGATTCTATGATTTCAGGTTTTTTCATCCTGTTGGGGTGTGGTTCCTCTCCTCTTCTTCTTAGGGCATAGGTTTCCCCATAGCAAGTGACAACATTCCATAAGCAACCAGGTTAGGGGGGTTTTTTGAGTTGCATCTCTGTTTGAGAAGCCAGGAGAGAACTCATGGGATTTTGTCATGGTCTTCAGCAGGAACTGTCCTCAAGAGGTGGCTGCCCACAGGGTTTTTACAGTATCTAAACAGCAGCACAGAGGATCTCCAAAATCTGGAAGGAGGAATTGGAAGGGAAAGACTGGATAATTTCCTGGGCTTTTGCAAATTTTGTGAGAGTTGCCTTCAACACACAAGGCTCAGTAAAAGACCTGTCCTGAAGTAAGCAGCACCTTTCTGATTAAGGATGCTGTAAAGAGTAAACTCTTCATCAAGAAAGAAAACACCAGCATTAACTTGGTATCTACTACTGTACTTAACAAGAAATTAAATAGCATCATAAATTGTGCAATCACAATCATTTGCAAGAGAATATTAAGCCCTCTAGCCCATCATAAAAGAAATTCTCCTTCTGAAAAGCTGCCTATAAATACAGCTGCAAAAAAACAAATAAAACAAAGATTCATATTGTCTACCCAATCCATGTGGGACTTAAGAATTAGTTAACAGGAGGGATCTACTTTTAACAAAAAAAGAAGATATTTCTATTTTGATGGCTTTGTAAGAAACCACCTTTTCTAAATTTTCCTTAAAAATTAATTTTGTAAGACTTTTATATTGAATTTGTATTAAGCATTGAATTTTCAAATGTCATTTTTAAAAGTCTTAATTCACAACAGGTCTGGTTTTCAAAACAAAAAAATAACTTAGTTTTCCATCAGTTTTCATTGAAAAAAAATAGAGAGGATTTCCTGAAGAATGGAACCAGCAGTTTTCAAAACACATCTTTTAAAATGGTAGAATATTGACAAAAATTAAATTTTCAGGTGAAACATCCAGATGTCCCATAAAATAAGCCTTTTTTTTTTTCTTTTGTCCTCCTGTTCCCAATAAGAGGAGACACTTTCAAACCTCTGTAGTGTGTTTTCAGGTCTGTTGGAGCACTGCACCACCACAGGACCAACAGCTGGGTGTGAGGAGCAGGTCTGTCATTGTGCAGTTCTCACAAGAACACCCAACAAACTCTTCCAAAGAACTGTGAAACTACATTCTGCCCTGTTATGTTGTGATTAACTGCCACCCAGTAATGCCCAGAACTTCTTCCAGGTCTTCCTGAATGATGGATGACTAAGGTACTTCTGGTAATTTTCAAAACTTCCACAAATGTGAACCTCAGAACCAGGACAGCTTAAGCAAAAGGACAACGAGAAATCAAAACCTACCTTTGCAGTGGAACCACACATCTGCTCTACAGAGGAATTAATGAAGGAAAGGAATCACTGTGGCCATTTTTACACTGAGGACAAGCTAATGACGACCTTCCTCCACAGGCTAGCCGGGTCATTCTGCAAGGCTGGTGCCATCAGCTTTGCCAAGAAAGCTGCCCATAAGCAGGGGGATCAAGATCTATCTGTAATTATGTTTTGAATCAAACTAGCTAGTCCCTGCTACCATGAAGCATCCTAATGACATTGACAGCAATCCCCACAAATTCACTAGTCTCACAACAGCCACATTTGTTTCAGCAGGACAAGGCTCTGCTATGTGGACAAGGAGCTTGCAGCCTCAGATTTATACTTCAGATGGCTTTTATCTGTCTTTTACAGTTTCCTGAAAACCACTTACAAAGCACGACTCACTTCAGCTTACAAGACTGCTTATACCCATGAGCATCTGCTTCAGTTATAGGTAAGAAAACGAGACGTTTTTTGGTTAACCTGCCAACAAATTCCTGTGTGAGACTGCTGCTTCCCCACATTGGTGGCCAGACTTCCACTGTCATCACCTGAATATGATCTCCATCTTGCAATTTATATAGTATTTACAGTGTTACAGAAATGCACAGTTGAAATGCAATTATTATTCTTATCTCATTGGAAAGACTGCATGCATTTCCCTCCTTGAGATCATCTTCTCCAGGGAGTCATTTAAAGTAAAACTCTCGCGTTCTGAAAACATGTCTTCAGCATGAGATCTGAGTATTTTCTGTCTTGGACACAATAAAAGCAAGAAATTGAATCAAAGTGTATTCCTAAAACGATATACTTCTCTTGCCCACTTCTCTCTCTTTCCTACACAAATACAAAACCCTGGAAAGTGCCAATTTTCAAACTCACTATACAGCATGAAACAATATTTAGAAGCATGGTGCATAATACAGATACTCTACAAATATGTTCAAACAAACAAAAAATTAGCATTTCATGGCTAGGAGAGCATATTTTTTAGCCCAGTCTTTAACTTAATAATTCCTTCCCAGGAAAATTCAGCCTATATGCTATTAAATAGTTCCTAGAGTCCTAGGTCAAACCAAGTGAGAAAATGAATAGGCCCATTCATGCTTCAGACAGGATAATTCTGGTAAAACTGGTGCTGACAGTGTTAAAGAGCAGTGATGGAGGAGTCTAGCCTTGTCATTCTAGTTGTGACCATGAGTGACAAAAAATGTGTTTCCTTTGCCAGTGAACTGATCTTTCGAGTTTGTACAACCTAAACCGTGCTTACGTCATTTGAAATTCAAGGGAGTGAAAATTCATGCACTCAAGTGCATGCTTTGTTTGAGCCTGCCATGAGTCTAGCACAGCAAAATGTACGGAAGAGCTGGTAATTTTAAGGTGCTAAAATAAGAAGGGTGGTACCAAAGTGTGAAACCAACCCGTGGTCTTACCCACGCACTGCCTCTGCCTCCAAACTCCTCTGTGATCCTAGATCACCTGATCTCTAAATACTGTGGGTCCTTACCTGCATTGGGGCGCAGTCTGCCTAGTGAGTGGGTTCACTTTGGAAATGGTCCTTTGGTGCATGCCCATATCCTCCTTGTTCTGCAAAGGGAACCTGTGGAGCGGGGAGGAATCTCCAGGTAACAATGCAGAAGAAGTAATACAAAGCAAAAAGACTAAAGCAGCAATCATAAAGAACCAGGAAAACTGTCATAGACTAAAGCCCATTCTCAGTTGCAGCAATATCCCTCTGCCTCAACCCTTGTTTTAAATCATGCTAAGTATCAAAGAAGCATTTTTCTCACCCAAATAGAATTCCATTTTTCCTTAGAAAGGCACTAAATCCAATGAATTAAACATTATCTTTCACAACAACAAAGAGAAATTAGTATCTCCTCTTACTTTCTTTTTCAGCCGGGCAAGGTAGGGACTTCACCCCAGACAGACAATGCAAATAGCTCCCATAGGTATTTCCTTCACCACTCCTTCAGAGGCACCATATTAAAAGTAAACTAATGCTGTAGGCAGCTTCGGAAAATGACTTCAATGGTATTTATTGCTTTGATAGGGTCAGTGCACAGTATGTGCATGTTGCCTTTTAAACATATGTTTCAGGCAAAGAATCAAAGCTAATTTCAGTGTGTGAAAAGCAAGCAGATTTCATTACTGATTTTGACTTTAACTTCAAAGTGATAAGGATACTGGATGTAGGTTCTCAAAACTAAATGTCCAAATGGGAATTTATGATGTAGAACTTCAGCTTTATCATCCATGGGCTTCAGTGCAGAATGAAGAAAGAAATTCTCTGCTTCCAGGAATCTCACGGTTAACCCACAAGCCAGCTGACTCTTTTTCCCTCTCTCTAATTCTCCCTGCAGCTATTTCCTCTCCATGACATGTTAAAGCAAGAATGGCCATTGGCATTAACCACTTTTGGCATCCAAGTAGTGAATATGAAAGAGATCTGATTTTTTTTTTCCCATCACTACAATGCAGCCCCACTTTGACTCTTTGCAGAAGTGTCAGCAGAATTCATAACAAGCTCAACACAATCTGAGTTGCAAAGTACAATAAAAGACCTGCTGGTAAGTATTTTTTGTTTTGTTTTTAATGAGGATTCCTCTCATACTATTGCAACAGACCTAGTTCCCAACTTCAGGCAGCAATGTGTAATAACCCTTCCTACGTGGTGCATGGAAGGAGGTGGACCTGTAAAATTATTAAAAGGCTGTAGGTGTAAGCAGCAAGAAGTGAACGAATGAAGGCTTTGTCCAATGTTTTGCACAAGATCAGATTCAGGATAGACTATCACTAGTGGTAAAAGCCAGAAGGTTTAAACCCAGTAGCCTAAAGATAGGTATCTAACTCAGGCTTAGATAACTAAGGTGACCACATTTTCCGGAAGACACTTTGAGTACCTATTTAACTTTGAAAGCAAATGTAGCTAATTCACTACTGAAGAAAAAGCTTAGATATCTGTAAAAATTCTTACATTAACATGTATAAAAATGCATATACACATTCAACTAGTAAGTATATATACATGTGCATATACATACTTATGTACACTGCTGAATCAAGACTCCAGGGAGCCTAATTTGCACAGTGAGTGAGCTACCACAACTTCACTTCGAGTCAAAGAAAAGTACAAGATTTTGAAAATAATCAGACCTTTTTTTTTAATGCTCCTGTCCACAAATACAGATGTGCACTCAGTTTTGTAAGGTTTTGTCCAGGTCTGTTTAACAGCACCACACTCCCCTAGGTTCAAATGACACCTCTGAAACAACTGGAGCAGTACATGACACCTCTTTATTATCATCTCAACAAGAATGATAACAACCTCCTCTGTTTGGTGAAATACCCATGGGAATTTTACCCAATTAAGTGAGGATAACATTATCTTTCATGATTTTAGCTGGCTGTCTACCATTTCCATTGTATACTTGGTAGTCAGTTACAAAGGACGCAATATCCACTGAAGGAAAATGTACAGACAAGGGGTTAGTCATTTCAAGAGTGGAGAAAGGGAGGTAGAAATCGAAGGAAGAAAGAGAAGGATGACACAGTGCAATTGCTCAGCTTAATAGCACAGCTGCTTAAACAACTGAATAGCAATCAACGGGTTAGTATTCAATCCAAGTTTAGATCGCATTGAAATCTATTAGAATACTGCATATAATGAATGACTCTTACTTATTTGGTATTCTATCTTGGAATTAATCAGCTCAGTTGTTATGCAGGGGGAAAAAATTAAAAAAAAAAAAAAAGTCAGTGAGTAGACAGGCCCAAAACAAGAAAAACAACCACCTTGATTTCCCTGGTGGTTCACAGCCTCACAGTACTCAACAACACAGGCTGAAGCTGAACACTGTGAGAAACAATGCAAGTTAGAGGTTTCATGGCTGTTGGGGAAGCAACCAGGTTTTGCTCACGTACAGGTTTGCTCCATCCCTTCCTGGCTCTCGCAGTGCTCATAGGGTTGTACCATCTGCTGGAGCACAATTCAGAGGTAGCTTTAAAGTGATGATGATAGCTCTGGGAAACGATAATCTTTGGGTCATAGAAAGATGTACTGCAGTGTATAAATAAGATAACTGAAAGTGCTGAGCAGGGCATGTTTGCATTATGAAATGTACTTTCTTTTTTTCTTGTACAAAACCTGCTTTGAAAGCATGGGGAATGCAGCAGGATTGAAAACCAGAAGGAAAGCAACATAGCCCCAGAAGCTGCACAAAGGAGAAGAGGGATGCAGGAATGGTAAGCTGTAGTATTATTGACTGAGGAATGATAAAAGAGGAAGGAATTCAACAGTTACATCTCTTTCGCTTGGTGCAATGGCATGAGATCAAAGGCTTACATTCACATTAGCCCAGAATAATGCATACTCCATAAATGATGCAAAGCTAGGCTACATTCCCAGGAAGTGACAATGCCTCAAGATGCCCCTTTGCTAAGTTTAGGTCAAGGCAACAGGCTCCTGCATATTAAATCTTTTTCAAAGCACACAGACATAGTTAAACCACTGGCCATGGAGATAGACTGCATTCAGGACAGGTATGATGTGCTCCATCGGCTTCTACTTTTCCAAATGTAGTCAATTTTCATTCATTTCTTTTCCAATTGCTCTTGCTATTTCAGAGGATCCAAACTGTCCACCTAAGCACAGAGAAGCTCGGGCTAAGAAGCTGGATTTGATTTTATTTGTTTAAAAACAAGTATGAGAGAGGAAAGCATTAGAAGATAGTCAACTCAAATTCCAGAGGTGTGGGTCAGTCCCACCTCTGCACTGGCCACCTCTGTGACATCGATCAGCTCACTTGGGACAATCCCTTTAATGACTGCAAAGCAAGAAAAAGGTCAAATGGTTCTTGAAACCCCAGGTTTCATGAGATACATTTGTCAAAGCCACCTAAAGATTCAGAGCAGTGATGGTTGTACCTTGATTCCTGGGGGATCCAGCTATTGTAGACACCTTAAACAAAACACCACTAGGACACATCCATATCATAAATTCCTCTAAGAAACCTTAACCTCCGGGACTCTGTATTCCACTAGTTAAATGGAGATGAATAATTATTTTCCTCACCTTTCACGGTTTGGTTAGTGCAGGGATGCGTTGCCATACCAACAGCGATCCAGCCTGGCCATAGGACAGGGCTGGAAGTGTGGAGGTGCACACATCCCAGGCCAAGAAAAAAATTCTCCTCTGTCCCTCCCTGCTTTCTTCCCTCCCTGCCTCCCTCCCTCCTCTCACTGGAAGAGAAGCAGTTTCTCTTTGTGAGAGAGCACAAAGAGGAAGAAAGAAAAGGAATTGTCCATCAAGCTCAGCAGAGCCTCAGGGGCTTTCAGCAGAGGATGCCACAGCCTATGAGGACAGTGCTGAAGACTGATTTTAAAAGGACAGTTCAACCCTATCTACATTGAACTGCCTCCAGCAGCCCCCAGCCTGTGAAGAACATGTATCACTGAAAGACTCACTGACATCTTCTCTTGTTTTTCTTTCCACAGATCAACACTGCTTCTCACTCCCAGGGAGAGTGAAGTCCCTCGCTATTCCTCTGCCCAGTGCCACAGCCCTTGGTGTACTGCCGGCACCCAGACCCTTACTGGGAGTTGTGGTGGGCACTACTGGTCTGGTGGGGTTTCTGGGTCCTTCTTTACTTGCCAAAAACGTCAGCAGATCTGTAAACGTTACTTCATGGAAGATGTAACAGATACATTCATTCCCTGCCAGTGGCTGTAAATCCAAACAGTGGCTGCAGATCCAAACAGAGGTTCTAGCCAGTACTGGAGGAAAATGAACCACGTAGACAGTGCCAAATCTGTGTCCCATTCCAGACACCCTTTCCAGGACACCAGAACCAAAAAGGGACTGTCAAAAAGCACAGAGAACAAGTTGATTATGAGAGGAGACTGGAAAGCATATGAGAGAGCCACAGAAATGTCTCATCTAAGGGCAGAAACAATAAAGTTGTGTTTATATTTATGTACATATATATGTCTCTGTGTGTGTATACAGTAATTAACAGTGTGGAAAAAATAGAATAGGACCTTCCAGTCACCTTTTCCCCTAGTATAAGAGGAGAATGAGTGTAAACAAGAATGGAGCAAGTCAAAATTACAACAGAGCTATTAGACAACACAGCTATTTGGTATCCCAGACCACACAATCCCACTGAGACTACATGTTCCATCATGCTCAAAAACAGAATCAGAGATCTTTGAATATCTAGAGGTACAATTATCTATTAAAAGTAAACAAGCCTCAGGGAAGTGTAAAATCCCTTGGAGTGCAGGAGGATAGGAAAACATCCATTCATCAGAGAGAATGACAAATCATCTGTGAAATGAGTAATCTTCAAGTACATGCTTAGGTATCTACTTCGAGAGGTGTTGACATGCATTTACCATAAGAAAGACCAGGTCTTTATGTCACTGAGCCTGTGTTGGCCTTTGGAGACAGAGGTGCTAAACCAAGGTAGCATGGAACAGTGAAGTGAGAAGAAAGGAAGGAATTGGGTGAATTAAGACTATTGCTGCAGTTTAAGGCCCTCCCCTACCCATGACATACTCTTTGACCCTGTGTGGCCAATCCATCACTGCCAGCTCTTTGAGTGGGACTGTTCACCAGGCAATTCCTCTTCTATTCACCACATGACCCACTGGCAAAGGGCCCCTTCACCTTGCACCTATTCCTCAGCCCTCTCTCCTCACCTGCCTGCCCCTACCTCTGCTCTTACAGTCTCAGATCTTCCCCATATCTTGTCCAGTCCCAGTTTTCACTGCAGGTGGGTATTTTCCTCATTGCGCTTTTTGACCGGACCAGCATCTCAATAAAAAGAGGAACTCTTGGTCCATCACCACAGCTGATATAGCTGTCCACCCTTGACTCACAGCCCTTTCTCTTCATCTCCCTGTGACCTAAGGTGTTCGTCTTTCACTCACCTGACAGTCTCTCCATTTGCTCTGGCTCTTGATCTACAAGACCAAGCTGGTATATTTCTCCATCTTCCCTCCCTCAGGCCCCACATTCTGTGGTGTCCTGATCTTCAGACTATAATGATGACAATGAGTGAAAGAGTTTGACACAACTAATGCAGTGAGAGCTAAGTGAAGAGAGTAACAAAGTTATACACCTATGTTTAATATCTTCATAAGTGACCTGGAAGACGGGATCAAGTGTACCCTGACAAAATTTACTGGTGATGCCAAGGTGAGTGGGGAAGTGGGTACTTCCAAAGGGAGGGGCAGGGAAGCTGCAATGTGAGGAGAGGCTGAGTGAACTGTATTTGTTAAGCCTTGAAAAAAGGAGGCTTAAGGCAGACCTTATCACCATGTTCCAGTGCTTAAAGGGTGGCTGCATAGAAAATGGATAATGGGTACAATTTACTCCTGGGGAGGTTCCAATTAAATATAAGAGGAAATTTTTTTCACAATGACAACAATTAGCCATTGGAATCATCTCCTCGGGGAAATGGTGGTTTTCCCAACACTGGACACTTCTAAGATTCAGCTGGTCCATGTGTTATGCCATCTTGTCTAGATCCTGCTTTTGCCAGGAAAGGTTGGATCAGATGATTCTTCTAGTCCACTTCCAACCTGGCATCCTTTGATTCAATTATTCTTAATACATTTTTTGGACTGAACATCTACTAATATTTTTTCTTTATGAGCTGAAGACTCTCTCCTACCATACCCTCATCAAAGCCTCCTGAATGAGTAAACATCCACCTCCTGGGAACCTCAAGAGCTCTCACATGAAGAACAGGTTTAGCCACTCTTTGAGACATTTTGTTAGAATGGCTGTACCACTTTTATAAACTAACCTTGCTAAGAACTGTGAAGTTTGGGTGTCTGGGAACATATCCACTCATTTCCAAAAATTTGTCATGAAGAAGGGAAAAAGCTGGATTTTTTTAAACTATGCTGCTGGCCAAGATGATTGTAGGGATGAAGTAGATGAGCAGATGCAGACCAGGCACAGACTCCTGCTTTTCTTGATGGAGCTACGCTTAAGTGAAGTCCCTTCACCAGAAATAATAAAATGGACATCTATGACAGCATCTGAAAGCTGTTTCTGGATATACTTCAACAAGAGCAAATGCATTAAGGGTGGACGAGTGTTTTACAGGAAGAGGCAGCCACAGAGAGGTTAGGAGAGCATGGAGGCCTCAATTAGGGGGAAAGGAATATGAAAAGGAAGAAAGAAGAGAGGCAGCCAGTCCCACTGATAAAATGGGGAAGCTCTGCCGCGGGTCAGAGTTTGTAATCATACCAGCCTCCTAGATTTTATTTCTGTACAGGAACTATGCTGGGAGCACAGCTGCTAATCCCCGGATTTAAAAAATTGAACGGTTAAGTTAAAATGAGGGGAAGTAAAATGTCATTATAATGAATGAAAATAAAATGTCTTGATCAAGCACCATTATATCAAGAGAGATGAATGATTAAACAACAGCCGTAGCTACATCAGTACAACTATTTTTCTTAGCCTTCACAATTGTAGGTTTAAGAAATAATAGCTATGAAGTTTGTCTAAGAATGGCATTAACTACTGTTTTGTATTGATGCTAAAAATAGAATAGATTAATACTTTGTCACTGTATTTTCCTTAGCTACACGTATAAATATCATTAAAGCTTTAAGGATGTACACCAGGTAATTGCTTCCTTGGAAAGTCCACTAGACTTCTTATGCTTTTATGCTACAGAACAAACATCAAAAGAAAGGCTATAGACCCAGTTTCCAATGTAAAAGTCATTTTTCCTTCACCTTTTAAAATTAAAAAATGTCCTCAGGGAGCAAATAAATATACAAATTATACTGCTGAAGCCAAAGGAGAAGCTCCTCAGTGAATATGGGAATAAGCTCCTTAGCATTGTCATCTCCTCACTGTCTCACAGGCATGCCAGAGGCACACAACACAGGAAATGCCAGACACCCATTTGCAGTAATTTCAACAACTCCAGGTCCCATCCTCACTCTCCAAACATCTTGGAAATGATCTTTCTGCACAATGCTGGGTGGTCTGGTGACCTTTACAACGTGCCAGCTACTTTTGGGCTCACATTTACAGCTCCACCACTATCAGCAGAGAGTCTTCCATGCTTTTACAGCTTAAATGCAGCCTTCTTGCTCCACACACAGGCCTAAAGGGTTCAGAAGAACATAGCCCACATTGCCTGATACTGCTCTCTGAACCAGACTCATCAGACTCTTCTTGAAAGACTTGCTCCTGCATTTGATTCTCACAGGATCTGCCTCCTCCTAAGGCACTCGTGTGGCTTCTGCACAGCCCTAAAGAGAGGAATCTGAGCATCATATGAAATTCTTCATGAGGTGCCAAGCAGTGCTTCTCACTTTCATTTTATCCCTAGACGTGACACATCCCAACACTCAGCCTGCCTTCTCCACCAAACATAATGCCTTGGAAGGCATCCTTGGCCACTGTCTTTCTAGGTCTCTGGCAAACATGTTCCACCCAACACAGAATTTCATTGATCACAGTTTTTGTTGATTTATATGTGTCTGCATTATCTGCTCGTGCTATTTGCCAGCTCACCAACAGAAGGGTCAAATTCATGCTGGGTTCTCTTTTATAGTGTTGCTACAAAAAATTGCTAGCATCAGTAAAAGGAATTCTTTCTTGTTACTGGTCTCAATTAAATTAGTTAGGAGCGCACCCCAAGCTGAAGGTGTGGGCGGAGAGGCACACAGAAGAGCAGTGTTTGACTCAAAAATGCTTTCACCTTGGAGGCTGTCCTCACCCAAAACCAAACGCTTATTTGATGCGAAACCATAGCAGAGATCTCCTCTGACCTTCCCAAATGGAAACAAAGGGGTTTCACCTCATGAAGAGGAAATATAAAAATATATACATATCTATATAGAGATAAATTAATATATATTTATACATATGCATAATCTTTAACACATATATGGAGGCTTTAGGCTCACATGGTTGGACAAAGGGCTTTCTAAAGGAAAGAAGCTGCTGATTTTGGCAGGGTGAAGTGTGCCCTGATTAAATATATGACCACCCACCATTTTCACAATGGAATGTTCAAAGGAATGCTCTCCTCCTGTGAACCACTGACTTCTGGGATGTCATCTAAGGTCCACCTATCAGTGCAAAGATCACTGCTGACTTCAACAGGATCCAAAAACAGCCTAAGCCTCTCTTTTAAAACCAGCTTTTGGAAACAGTTCCTGCACCTGAGTCAAGTTTTGTCTGCTTTGTTACCGGTTTCAAATAACGGGCATCTTAGACTCCTAGATGGATGGAAACTTGTTTTAGACTGGCTTTGTTTCAGAAGTTCTGAGCATTTGCAGTGCTAGGGAGCTGTTGGGAGCAATTCAATCAGCATTTGCTCTTGAAAACCATGGTCCTTATAAGTGGTCCAAGATCTAACTGGTTCTGTACATGTCTGCCCCCAGGCCACACCACACACACATCCAACCCCAGAATGCTGCCACATGAAGTTGCAGCCTAGTGGCTCTTCTCTGGCAGGAAGTTCCACGTAGAGCAGCTTTGCTTTCACAGTGGCAAAGGGGGGCAAAATTCAGTTTTCACTCACCTGGCTTCCACACCACAGAAATCCAGCCAGTTCAAGGGCACCATTCCTGGGTTTGTATCACTGCAGCTAACAAGAGAAGCAGGACAAAAAGCCAGG